CCAGTCTTTTCTCCAAAATCTATGTTAATTCTAAAAGAAGACTCTCAGAAAAAACCAGCTGGAAATTTCATCCTTGAGTCAAGGCCATATTGCCTTTATATGAACTATATAAGCATTCCTTTATCTCAATATGAGGACTAATAAGATAAAACTTCTTATAGATGTAGGTACTCCTTATAAAAGAATATCTTATAGATAAAAGGTAAAGAACATTTTTTTTAAAGTCAGTAAGAGATAATGTAGGCATCATTTTTAACTTTCAAGTTTAGTATCACATAAGCAATAGCCCCATTACTTATAAACAATTTGCTCTTTCAGAATTACTTCAGTACATTTATTTAAAATACAAATCACAGAATCAAATGGTAGGAAATTAACTAGAAAGAACATGCAAGTTGAGTAACGTTCTTCCAAAATAGGAAGAAAAATTCTATTACCATATATCTAACTGCTAAAAAAAATACATGATCTCTTTGTACCATGTATATACTTGGGTGATTTCAGTCAGTGCACTAAGTGGCCCTCCCTAGAGCACACCCTATGGAAAGAAAATACATTTTCCTTAAACATAAGATACAATTCCTTTAAGATTATGTTAATTGCTTTCCCTTTCTAATTGACAAAGTCACCACAGAAATTAGAGCGCGAATTTCATTATTCTAGAAAGAACCTTAAAAGTTGACATGTCTTTGAACAATTGTTTCAGAAATCCTTTTTTAAGTACATTTTCATTTTCTGGCATGGCTTGAATTGAATTCTAAACTTTCTGCTGCTTGGCCCCTAAGCTCCTCTGGTGAATTTAAATAGGCTTCCTTATATATTTAGTACATTCAGGAATTCTTTGTTGCGGGGCCTACTCTGCTTTATTATGAGAAGGCTGTCTCGGAAGTCCAGCAGCCAGTTTTTTTGTTTTTTTTTTGCCATTAATAAAGAGTCTACTTCCCCAGACCCCCACGTCTTTGAAGAAGTTGAAAGGGCTCCATGTTGGTTAGAGGGGGGCCAGGAAGAGAGAGAGAAGTGAAGGGCACCGACTGTGGTGTAATCCCCCAACAAAAAATGCTGTCTAACGTGGAAACCTCCCCGAGGTTTACAAATGCACAGGCTGGGTTTAATTTAGTGTGATGTATAACAGAGAAATAACTTAGCCCCCCTTCCTAGCTAAGAATAGGAAGTCTACTATGAAAAAGACATTGCATTTTTAAATCCTATAAAACCAAATGCTTCCACTGGCTAGTGTTTCAACACTACCTAAATGTGTCCCTTAAGATGTTTGGAAACTAGAAAGACAATCCCAGTGTAAATCTATCATTTCTCGCAGTTCACTTACTTATATGACTAGAAAAGTTTCAAGAGAGACCTACCAATTTGGATGTATAAAATATTGGTGTTGACTCTTAGTCTAGAGAAAGCTAATGAAAAAGGCAAGGGAAGATGACTCCAGAGAATAGTCACCTGGTGCTCACAAATCCTTTCAACCTATCACAGAGAGGGAGAAACTTCTAGAAAGAAAGGAATGGTTAAATGCATCTATATAAAAGAACACAAAACACTCCAAAAACCTTAAAAGGCTGGGGAAAAGAGCCAAGGAGTTATTATTCCTATTTAGTTGATATAACAAATACAGTCCATAATTATTCTTACATTCCTTTTGTTTGTTTAGGAATTATTAAGGTAACAATCTTAAAGTCCCATTACTTATACCAACACTAAAAAAAACCTTATTTCACCATCTGAGAATTTTTCACTTTTTAATTCTGCATAAAATACACATGGAATTAGCTGAAAGATTATATAAAATAAAACTATTTAATTTCAAATTATTTTAATCTCAAATACCTTCAAGTTACACCTGATTTTACATTTCCACATATAAAAACATTACATATAAATTCACATTTATGGCTAGTAAAGTACTTATTCTGTTAAAGCTATATTTATGGGAAGATGGGGGGGGGAAGCAACCTTCAATAAAAATTGAAGCTAGCTCATTGAAAAAATGTGAATGATTTTAAGATGATGGCTCAATTTTTATATTTTTTTACTAAGAATTAAAAAAAAATAAAGGCATATATTTATGCCTCAGTGTGTGTGGACTCTGATAGATCAGAAAGCGAAATACAGAGAGGACATAATAATGCCACATAAATTTCTGTGGAGGAAATGTGAGGTTGAATAGCTCCATTAAAAAGTATATTGTTAAAATGTTTACAGATGCCCAAGATTAAACACACACACACACACACACACACACACCACACAACACAACACAAAACAGCACTTCTATTAGGAACTTTGTTTTCCTTTGTAAATAGTGTCACTCAGACATCACTGGGATTTGCTTAAATAAAATGAATAGCAAGCAATTAAATATAATAATCCAAGGAATCAAAATGATGCCTGCAAAAAACGGAGGATGTATTTCATGTGTAAATGGCAAGAAAATTTGGGCTTTAGCTCTTCGGTATGTACTGTGTGTTCTTCTGGAAACTCATTCAGCTTGAAAGAGGACAGCTTGTAAAACTATCTGCATATTTATCACGTGAATCTGACCAAGCCCAGGCACCTGTGCTAACATACCATTTTTGAAGAGGAATTCCAGGTAGTATATATAACTTTTCTAATGTCAATAATAATTAGCTTGTACTGCAATTCTCCTGAGATACTTACACCTAGTGTAGATATTATTAAGGCAGCCTAATGCCTAAATGACTTGAGAACATCTCAGCACCTATCTGGAGCTTCGCTGGAACACGAAAGTGTTAAGGACATTTACACCAGGAAAGCTATCAATCCCATGAACCCTGAAATGAAATGAAATGTAATTATATTTAGATTTGGCAAAATTCCAGAAGTGGCTTCCTTGTTGGATCCTTGAAGGCTTCCAAACAATGCCATTTTGGAAAATTCAAGTTGTCCTCATTGAGATTAAAAGTTAAAAGCTCAAGTATCACCCTATTAACAGAACAATGCAAAAGGGACAAAAGAAAAACTAAATACTTCATTGGTCATTGATAGATGTTTAAGGTGAGTGGTGATTTTCTTTTAAGGGAACTTGCATAAGCAAACAATGTGAGAGAGGAAATGGCAAAGGGTCAGTATCCTTATGTAAAGCAATGGTTTGCTATTTCAAAATTAAAATGTAAAAATAAGCTGGTGTCAGAGAGGAGGTGATTCCTCATTTCCACCGCATTGAGCAAGCTCGCATCAGCAGCAGACAGCGCTTAATATATGCGTCTGGCTCAGGCTGGTCTCCCAACCAGGAAGCCATGGAATTGTTAATATCACTGCTTTTTTTATATGCAACACACATCATTTCCTTGCTCTTTGTTGTAGATCTCTCCTTTTATTTTAAGCTTAGTATGATCTGATTTTCCCAATCATATTATATAACCCCCAAACAATATTATCCCGTGACAGCTATGATAGGAATGCAGAAAAAGTGTCATCCATCCATCTAGATACAGCATAAAGAAGTTTATATAAACAAAGTCACCCACTTATATCTTTACTCACCTTTATGGAGTCAGAGGAGAGCTTGATGAATGATGGTCTCAGAAAAGACAGTTTATATATAGGAAAGTGACATAGAGTGGTTTCAAAGAATGCATGATGATTAGTAAAAAAAAAATAAAAAAATATATACACACACACACACACACACACCTTATATATGTGATGGAGAAAATGAGCATCATTGCATTGTAAATTTTGTTTGGGTACCTTTTGTTTATGAAATAGAAGTTAATATATAATTCTGTTAAAAAATATGACAACATAAAAAAACACATTGCATTTGAAATAGATTAAATCTGATATCACTATAGCCAATAAACATCTATCCTTTATATTATTTTGGAACTAAACTGATGTAATAACTTATTTGTATATATCATTTATGATTATGTTAAACAGGTGTCAAAAATATACCTGTATGTGATATTGTTTTATATAAGAAGTAGTTCCTGATCCATTGTGTAAAACATTGCTAGTAAATATAACCAAGTTTCTGTATACTTGTAGATACATATACATAGAGTTCTTTGTAGAGACGTATGTAAAGAGTTCTTTGTATTGAGAAACTTATGCTTTTAAAAATGTTTCATTTCAATGAGAATGAACTTAAAAGAAGTAAAAGATGGATACTACCAAATGTCTTTACTGACTATATTATCTCCTTTCATTTAGAATTTTAAAACATTTTTTTTATAACACACACATGCACATACTTAAAATTTCAGAGATTTGAGAGAAATAAAATAGGTGTTATAAATAAATAACCTGAATAGGTACATTGTGAATACAAGATTAAATATATTCTATATGCCCTGTATAGATGACAAGTATGTTTATCATATTATGATTTCAATTTTCAAAGAAATATAGCTCCTGGGTAATCTGTATTCGGTGATATTTCAAATCATAAGTAATTGTACCAAATTGAATAAAAAGGTGAACAAAGACTTCAATAGTATTCTAAAATACTTTCATAAATTTATTTTAATGATACAGAAGACAAATTTATAGTACTCATGTAAAGCATTAGAATGAAAAGAATGAAATAGGTTTTGTTTTTTTTTTATTATTAAAAGTCTCTTCTCCATTTTGAATTTTAATATCTGCAACATTATTATAAAAATTTTCAAAAGGTTTAATATATTAATTCTACTTACAAAAGATACATATTTGATGTGGCAATGGTTAACAATGTTCAAACATGACATATTAGTTATAGTTGGAATAGTTACCTCCTATAAAACTAAAATCCTTATAAAACTAAAATAATGCATTTCAGATTCAGCTGATGGATCAACTGGAGAAGTCTGACTTCACAGGCTCTGTTTCTGGTTTATCTCACATGGGTCTGTAACATATACAACCTAAAATTTAAAAGCTAAAGGGTACCATATTTTGGCTAATTATTAATAAATTTCAGTTGAACTCTTACAACAAGAGAATGTTCTAGTATAATAAGACATATAAAATATTTCATCTGGCTAAACCATTAAGAAGAAAACTGGCAATAAATACCACATAGAAAGCAGCATTCTTCTAAAATCAGCAGTAAAAATCTAATAGGGTTAGTAAAGAAGATTGTAAATCATTTCATTTCTAGGCCTCAAGCTTGATTATAGCTATATGGTGTATATTCTGAGCCATATTTTCATGGGGATATATAGGATTTCTATAAATAGTTTATATATATATATATTCTATGCATATGAAAAAAAGTTATAAAAACACAAATCACGCTCTTCATTATTAACCAAGAAGATATTCTCTTACACCAGTCACCTTACAATATGCCAAGCGAAGCATTTTTAGAAACACATGTATTTTAATTTTGCTTCTTACACAGATCTCTTCTATTGCTTTTGAATGGTTGTTACAACAGAAAACAAATGCGATTCAGGGAAGCTCGGTAATTACTTTAGAGAACAGTTTCTGAAAATAGTATTTTTGGGGGTGGGTCCCGGTGGAAACATTGCTGGTTATAAACCAGAGCATTGTTCTTTCCTCTGGGCAGAATCCATGTATGTCCTTTTGTTCTGCTGGTAACTGCAGACAATCAATAAGGTCCAAAGCTGCTGGTTCCTCTCCGCCTAGGTCCCAAGAGCCTGACTTGTGATGTTACTGAAATACCTCACAAGTTAGGGTCTCAGGGACTAGGAAAAGTCTGGTTTGGCTGCGGTAGAATTCTTCTTCTTTGGTGGGAAGGCTAGCTTAGACATTACAGTTGGGTCGAGGCAAACTTTTCCCTCTACATACTAATGCACATACATATGTAGCAATAGATATATATATGACACATACAAGGTAGGATGAGCTGAATATTCATAATGAGCATTTACAGACCTTAAAAATCACAAAGAATACGAGACACAATATGAAACAATGAACAGTTAAAGAGTCATCCCAATAGATGCAAAAAAAAAAAAATAAGGCTACACATGGGTTAAAATCTGTGTCTAGCAGATTTATACAGCAACACCGTAGTTCTATTACATGCAAAAAGGATTATATCCCAGTAACGGGACCCTGATTGAAATTTGGTTTCCCCATTAGCCTTCTATATAGCACAACTGTTAAGTTGGCTCCAGGACATATAATACTTTCAATCTGATTTAAATATATATACTGTTGCAGTTCAGAATAAAACAAAAACTTTTTTTTTGCACGTCATCATTTAATACCTCTGAAGCTCGAGTGTTCTCTTTGAATCTCCAAACTATTCAGACAGCCACATATTCCCATGCACACTCTGCAGCTATTTGAGTAATGCCACTTAATAAACGTGAAACTTAACATGCTGGCCACACAAGAACAACAACAACAACAAAAAAATGATTCTCTAGCTTAAATAGTTGCATTCGAAAGCTCAATACTTTGGAGAAAAAAAAAACTGCACAATCCCGATCCTCTACATTCACTGAATTTCCTCCGATCGTTTAGCCTTGTTTGTGGTTGGAGAACAGAATTGGTACTTTAAGGAATGATCCAAGGTTTAGGAGCACAGAACGCAGGGTAAAACAATCGGACCAGCCACAACATAAAAGTCCTGGCCACAGAAGTGGAATCTGGTTCTTCTGCACTGGTTGATCTTAAAAGGGAAAAGAGGAGGGGGAAAAAACAAAAAACAAAAAACACGTAAAGAATTAGAATGTTTTCCTGTAGAACAGGTGAATCATCCATTTCCAAGTAAGCTGCAGGCAAGCTCAGCTGAACAAAATATTTGCTAACTGCCCCCCCCACCCTAGTACCACACCCCTTTCCACCCCCACCCCCACCCCCTGTCCAGATCTCTACTTTGCCTTGCAAGACTTTAAATATTCTGCTCCATGATGCAATGCATCATTATATAAGATCCCTTTTTGTTTATCATTTGATTTCCCCCCCCCCATATTGAATCAGTTATGGCTTAAGATAGCAAACAGTTTCTTTTTTTTGAAAAAACATACAAAAAAAGCAGCATTCACAAAAATACAAAATAAAACAGCCTTTACATCTCAAGTCCATGCTTTTTCCCTTAACACTGAAGATGGCTCTCCAATCCTTGACCACAGCAATCCAACCAATTATTCGAATGAAAAATCTCACCCCTCCATAAATATGACATTAACATAATTATACCCTTCCCCCCCTTCCCCCCCATCGCCGAGACCCATCCTCCTTAGGGAATAACATCTGATGCTCCAAAGATGGAAATCAGTCAGATTTTAGTTGCTCTCCAACGTACCTTTTGCTTCTCACTGACTGACTGGCTTTTACCCTCCACGCACTCACACGCCACCCCCTCCCCTCGGCTAGACACGGGGTGCCCGAGCGAGCAGGCGCGCCCGGCACCCAGACCCAGACGCCGGGAGAGGCGGGCGCAGCATCTGATGCTGACTCAGAGCGCTCGCTCTGTGTGCAGGGGGTGGCAGCGGCTGGTATTTCCACTGCGCTCATCATTAACATTAACTCGCAGTCTAGCATCCACCCTCTCCCAGACCTGCGGGACTGCAGCATTTGCATGACGCTGTCACTCTAGCCTTTGCAGGTCATATGATGGAAGAGAAAAAAAAAGAAAAAGAAAAAAAGAAAAGAAAGAATAGGAGGGGAAAAAAAAGAAAGAAAAAAAAGCACCAAGGCTTCCTCCATCGGAAATGCCTTCTTTTCTTTTGAGCCTCCTTATTTTTTCCACCTTTCGACGTCCCCTGTGGCTACCTAGTCTCAGTTATTGGGCATCTTTCGAGGAAGAGAATACCTTGCTCTTCCCTGAGCCAGGAGCCAGTGGTCCTGCCCTCCCCTCCCACGCTGATCCCCACCCCTGCCTCCCTGATCAATCAGAGGCTGCGGAGACAGGTTCTGACAGTCTCAGCCTGGATGCACTACCCTGGGCAGCAAGCAAGCAGCTAGACACACACGTGAGAGGGGGAGAAAGGACGCCAGCGGTTCCTTTCCAGTCCTAGACTTTATCCTATGCCTTCTTCACCCCCCTCCACGCCCCATCCCTGTCTGACTGAATGGAAAAGCACCTTTCCACTTCTGTATGGAGCCCCCAAACTGCCCGGGAGATGCAAGAGTGAGACTCAGCTCTATGCATCAATCATTTGTATTTAATAATGAAAGAAACTATGACTTTAATACAAAAAATAATTGCTTAGTGTTTCTATTAGCCATGCTCTCACTTCAGAAGAATGATAAAACTCTGCCAGTATCTGAATCATCAATATGATTTAAACGGTGTTGAAATCTGAAGGTGCTGGAATGAAATCAACCAACAGGCTGTTGAGATATATATATATATATATATATATATATATATATATATATATATATATTTATTTATTTATTTTGGTTATTTTTATTTATTTATTTAAGAACTTTAAAAAATAATACCAAATAAATAGCTGTGTGCTGGTAGAATATGCACAAGTCTTTGAGATAAAGAAACATTTGCAGGCTGAAAAATACTAAAGATTGACTATCTATTTACACAAAGATGTGTTTGTGTAGCTATGTGAAAACAATCTATATGCATTGTTATGAAAAGAGCTGAACGATCTGTCTGAGCACAGTCATGTGTGTGCTGCCGTGTTTCACAGCACAAAAGGCGGTCCATAGGTATCTACCCGGTTCCTTTGTTCTTCGATGGTTCCCTTTAATCACAGAATGTGGTACCCTTCCCACCTTCCCCTTCTACATGAGCAATATTCCTGAATTACTGATCAGACAGAGCCAGCCACCGGTGGCTGCCGAATACCCGAGACACATACAAAGGAAAGCGAGGTACGGCAATTCTCAAGCCAACCCAAGTGCTGCCTGTGCTACTGAAAATTCAGTTTACTCACACAGACAGATCCCAGCATGCACCGCGGCACTGCAGGACCAACTAAGGTAGCAGTTTGGCAACAGATCTGTGGCAGCTCACGTAAAAGGACAACCATTTGCAGAGGCTCCAAAGAAAACATCACACAACCTCTAAGGAGAAAGAAGCATCTGCAGGCGGACATGTAGCTCTCAAACCAGCCCCTACAGCCTCCTGATGTGAAAGAAAAGGCAAAAGAGAAGAGAAAGAAAAACTCAAGTGCAAAGACAAAAAGCACACACACATGCTCACACACACTCACACACACACACACACACACACACACACACACACACACACACACACACAAAGTGGGCACCTGAAGGAAATGTGGAATGAAGCACAGGCTCTCATTAGAGAGAGAAAGGGAGGAGGGAAAAATAGAGAGGAAGAAAGGGAAACACAGAAATGGGAAGAGGGAGGGGAATGAAGAAGGGAAAGAAAGGATGAGAGTAAAGAGCAAAGAATCACTGAGCACCAAAGCAATAAAGAAAATATGAAATTAGATGGCAGAAACTAGAGACTCTGGAATAGTAGTATTCAGAATCTAACAAAAATGTATACCAGAAATTAATGTTTACACAGCACAGCTTTAAATACGTATTGTTTGTGGCAGTGTAATGCCTGCTGTCTTCTTCCAGTTCTGCTTTTAAATATACCGGTTATCTCTTTAAGCCTCTTTGCTCAGAGATTCATCTTTTTGCTTTTTTTTTTTTTTTTTAAGGGCTTCAGCATCTATGTTCTTTAAGCTATTTTTTTTTCTAGACAGTTGCCCACAATTCTCTGGATAAATTAATGTCATGACCTCACTATGGCTATCAGACATAAAATGTCGACTAGTTTAATAATTGAACATGCGCTTACAGCAAACTGCCTACTGATATCTTAGCTCTGTGGACTGTCTGCATAATCAATATTATTTGAAAGAAGATGTTGTAATCAATCAGTTCAATTACCACTGTCATAAATATGGGTTTAAGGTCTCATCTGACTCTAAACTTCTAATCATCAATACTAAAACATCCCTAAAGGGAACTCTGATTATGGTTAAAGTTTTTAAAAAGAGACCTCTCTCTGTTTTTTATATTTAATTGAAGCAACACAACAAATGCATAGTCTTGTTAGATCAATTATTTTTATATGCTACTTGAATTTTGTTCTGTTAAAGAAATAACTAAGATGTATCTGAATGTGTATCAAATGCTAGATTGAGTAAAAGGAAGCAATAGCTATGAAATGCTTTAATTCAACGTGCCTCCTACCTTATAACTAAGACAGGGATCTTTTATTTCTTATAAAGACCATTTGAAATCAGTTTTATTATGGGGATGGTATTTAAAAAACTGGTTTAGGGTAACGGAGAAGGACTATAAAATTGTCTACAGTAAACACTGACTTAAAGTTCAGGGATGTGCAGAATATACTGTTTTTAATTCTTGCATAATATTTTCTTTGTTTTACTTAAACTACACCCTCCAATAAGGTATAGCAGACCACATGTAGCAATTAAAATTAAATTTAAAAACTCAGACACAGACAACAGTATGGTGATTACCAGAGAGAAAGAGGGTAGGAGGAGGTAGAATGGTTAAAGGGGAGACAAATGGTGATGGAGACTTGACTTGGGGTGGTCAACACACAATACCATATATAGACGGTGTATTATAGAATTGTACACCTGAAATTAACATAATTTTATTAATCAATGTTGCCTTGATGAGTTCAATATAAAATAAAAACACCATTCATCAAAAATATAAAAGATAAAAATTCAGTTTCTCTGTTGCCCTGGCCATATAACAAATGCATAATAGGATACATTGGAGTTTGCCATTTTGGACAATGCAGCTAAACACATTTCTAGTCTTGCATAAAGTTTATTGGACATTGCTGACTTAAACTGTTCTTGTGAAAAGTTTATAGCATACTAATTATTGGGTCCCAATACATTCATTCTATCAACTTTAAGAGAATGAATGTACATTGACTTATTTGAAGATCTAAAATAAAACAATTTCATTTGACTAAAGAGGACCTAGTAGTTTTCTTTATTATTAATAGTACTTAAATATACAAGACGATTCAAAGGGGTGTGTTATGCAGAAATTAACTTTAAGGTAGATAAAGTAAAACACATCATAAGACCACACACACAAATATTCAACCTAAAGTCTCTGGATAAATCTGAGGAATTCTTATGTATCTATCCTTCTGGAAGTGAATCATGATCTTTTTAGTGTTAAACAACACATATCACATATTTGTTTTTAGTAAAGGGGTCTAATAGTAGGGTAAGTTGCAAACATTAAGAGAAAGGGCACTTTTCAAAAATCCTACCAATATAAAGAAGGAATAGCATTTAAGAACAGCAACTACCATGGTGAGATTTTTTCTTTTTCTTTTTAAGAAAAATAATTAAAGAGCAGGAGAGACAGAAATCAGATACTGATGATCTAGCATGATCTGATGGGAATTTTTTATTAAATAAAACACTGAGAAGAAACAGGTGTGTGTGGTGTGTGTATGTATAGATCTTGTTAAGATAATTTTGAATTCCCAATCAGATTCTGGAACTAATTACCTTAAGCAAAATAAAATGAAATATAAATGTATATGAGTTATTAGTTTACAAATTTCATATGAAAGTTATAGCTGATTTTTTAATGAGGAAGAATACCTGACCCATATTTTCCTCTAGAAGTTTAAGTCCTTGGATTAGATGATGATTCAGTGTTCAACTCAGACAACTT